TCTTATCCATGATGCGCTTATTCATTGCATTGCTTCTTGCGATACTCGAGGTGCATGCCTCCGTTGTCGGGCAACGAGCTCCACCCGAACCCACTCCCAGCTTTGATTCATCCCCAGCACTCGAGGAAGGCACTAGAAACAACACGATAACACCACAATAATGGGACTCAGCCAGCGGTGTTCACATGGCTAGACAACTCTGAGCTCGGATTTTTCCGACGGAGATCACCTCGGCAGGAAAGTGTACAAGCGTTGGAATGGCGAGGGCGGGGACGTCTGGATATGTCATTCGACAGAGATGAACATAATATAATAAATGACCATTGCGGCGTAAAATATCACCCCTGTGACCTGAAATATTAAGAACGATGGCATGTCTTGGCGTCTATTCCGCTAGCCTCAATAATCTATCATTCAGCGGCGCCACTAACGGTGAAGTAATTCAATAGCTGCCTCCATGCAAACTTGGCCAGTCTGCTATCGTGGCGTTCCTTCTCCTTCAAGTTGCACAATAAAAGACGCTATTGTACTTGGACCAAGCAGAATTACCACAACTTTGCGTGGGATGAAGAGTACTTTGGGATTTTTTCACCCTTTCAATAGAACTCTATGTATTCCCAGCTCGCCACACCCACTCACCCGCTTTACCAACAACTGCAAGCGTGACTGGTGTGACTAATATCTGACTTTCAGATAGAAGTCAAGTCGCAGTTGACGCCATGACTGGCATCAGATGGTGTCTTCGAAAGAGAATACACAATTTGCTTGCCCCGTCAAATTCCCGTAAGCAACCTGACCAGTGTGACATGAACAACACCCTGTGTCCTACACTAGGCGATGCCTCTTGAACAACGGCAACCGCTTCAGCTCATGCACTAGCTCATAAAACGAGATCCTCAGTCGTGCTCTTGTTAATGACACTGGAAAGGTCGAGCCTGTTGGCCAAATTAGTTGTTTCTCTCAGGAAACAATCTCACCGTGGAGAGTCGGGTAGCTTGTAATTGGCTCTTCAACCTCTTTTTGGTTCATCATAGCGTCAGCGGAAGTGTCAGCCCTTGTAGGTGTGTGCATAAATATGTGAACTGATCTGAGATGTGAAGATGCTGAGGGTTTAAACAAAGCCAAGACCTGTAGGGTTTCTGGGGGATAATTTGTGGCGTCCTAAAACACGTCTTCGCCTAGCGGCGAAGGGCCATGTAACGCATAGGACATAATGACGGCAGAAGATGCTTTCGAATTCGCGCAATTACTCGCGTGATGGTCACCCACTGCTGGGGGTACGTCGCACGGGCGCTGAAGACGACCTGCTGGAGCCCGATGTTGATTGCATTGCGCGAAACTGTTCTGCCGGTCATTTTCACATACCATGTCTGGGACCATGAAGAGCGGAGAAAGACCAGGCCGCGCAATCATCATCCAGCGCGCTACTAATGTCCGGCCACAGAACGCAGCCAAATGCTACCCCGATGTATCGCTCAGTACCAGCCGCTTCAGGACCTATTGTAATCTCAAGCAGGCCAAGCCCCCGATTTAAATACTGGACCGTTTATAAGACGGAACTTTGTCGCAGATTGTACTGTACTCTAGCAGCTTCCCCTAAATACCTAGCCTGTGTCGCTGGACCCGCCAGACAACAAAGTTCCCAACTACAATGGACATGTTTCAGAAGCCATACAAGGACCTAACTGACTGGGAGATGCCATTTACGCGCGTCTTTAAGAATGGCGAGTGGCTAGAATGGGTGTCACAAAAGGGGCTCTTCCCTATTCTTCTCGGTAGCGACATGACCTGGCGTGAAGCAATAGAGGAAGATTTCAAGACAGACCCTCAAGGGGGAGAAGGCTGGCAGTTTGGTCTTGTTCTTGGGCAAAACAAAGGGGTTTCCGGAAGCATCCAACAAATATTAGGCGCTGAACACTATAAGAAGTTTCTCCAGTCGCTTCATGACGGTTATCAATCCTGCCCTTCCGAGATCAATGGGAAACTGGTCTACGATACCATTACAATCAAAAGTACACATACGAGACTATACACGGCACTCAGAGAACACCGCCTGTCCGTGGAGTCTATAGAGGGCATAGGGGGCGTGGAAAAAGCTCTTGTGTCGGGGATGGGTAACGACGGCTCGGCGTGCGTTTTCTACAAGGATCTGGACCGAAAAGTGCGAGCTGTATCTGTCATGGAGACACCCAGTCATACGATACTTCGATTTCCAAAAATAGCCGGGAACAACCGTTCCGTCTGGATATTTGACCGACAAAGCGGCAAACAAGATACTGCCACAGAGGGGGAAGACACAAGTTCAGACGGAGTAGCAGACAAATGATAGCTTCAGTCGTCTGGGGCAAGGTGTCCCATGCCGGTCGAATGAAAGACTTATCGTAGGCTTAAAACCTCTTCATGCGTTTCTGCAACTCAATTTATTTCTCTCTGCTTGACAAAAAGAAGAATTCTAGTTACGGTACTGATTCTAGCAACTAGGGTTTGAACCATGGTGATTGTCAAAAGCAGTGATAACACGCCACGAGAAACAAATTATTGGAGAGAACATATCTGTAGCGCCAGCATAAATGGTGCAGGGCCAGCTCTGAACCCAACCCATTTTCCCGTACAGCCCGTTTTTTCCATGGCTGACAGATTCACCAATCACCTAGGCCTAGAAAAGGAGTCCAAGGAGAAGTCGACCGGACGCTCCGACTACCGCTAGGGTTGCATGTCGGAAATGACATTGAGAAGGCAGGTACTCTGCAGGCAAAGGACAAATGCGATTTCCGTTCTTCAAAACCCATCCGGTGTCGAAGTCACAGCCCCATCCACTAAGGGCAACATCGTCAAAAAATGCGTCGGTTGACTGAGCGTCAAGCAAGAACTGCGGGTCAACGTTCAGAACTCCAAGATTGGTGTCAAGGCTATGAGCAGCGGAAGGGTTGAAGGCGAGAAACGTTGGCTGGGTTCTGGTATAGAACGCTCGCGTTAATACGGCACCTGCTTCCAAGTCCCATACCTTGATTGATTTGTCGCAAGAACTCGTTGCAAGTCGCCGTCCATCGGCAGACAAGGCGATGGCCAAGACGGAGTCATGGTGACCCTCAAAAGTTCGCAGACAAATGCCTTGTACCAGATCCCAAATCTTAAGCTCTCCATGCAACATCGAACCAGATATGAGCCTCATCTTGCTCGCTGAAAGAGCTAATGCGCTGATCCCAGTCCTGTGGCCTTCCAGCGAACGAAGAGGGGATCCAGACACGGCATCCCAAAGCTTGATGGTCTTATCGTAGGACCCAGTGGCGATGTATCGATCATCTTCGGAGAACGAGACAGTGGAGATCGATTCGGCATGGCCTCCGAGGGAATGTATGCAAACACAATGTACCACGTTCCAAACTTTGACTATGCGATCGTACGACCAGGAAGCAAGCATTTGGCCATGTGTCGAAAATTGTGTTGATAGAACCATATTAGCATGCCCTTTGAATCTCCAGATGCATGTTCCGGCGGTTGTCCATATTTCGATAAATCCACTCGACATTGATCCGGCTGCAATAAGCCGACCGTCATTGGAGATAGAAATGGAACTTATGGCATTATCGGGGATCGTGCCATCGTCTTGAGGCTGGGCGCAAACTCTGCTCAGGCAGACCCAACGGGCAACATGCGAAGTGTAGGGTGACTGAGAAATTGCTGCGTATGAACTAACAGTCAGACCAAGCCAAGCAAACCTCTCTGGAGGTCGGTGAAATCGGGCAGACACACCTAGGGCAGTGAGCTTTTCCATAGCCACATCTTCTCCATGGCAACATTTTAGCGGTTTGTGAAACGATGGAGGCAGGTGCCGGACCTAAATTGATCGTTCACCCTGGTTGGGGTAACACTGGTTGGCTTCAACCGTGGCATGAAGTTCGGTCAGGGTGAGTGAGCCAAGACTAGCGATCGAGGAAGTATAGAACAGTACATAGCTATAGCACAATAGTAAATGCCCATGCCAGTTTTTGCCCCGCGGCAGCATTATGCTCTTGATGATTTGCGCTCCAGGACCTTCTGCCGGACAAATCCTCGTTGCATTAGAAGATCCCAACACGACGCCGACTCATCACTGGACATAAAACAGCCATAGAGTCACAAGCGGCTGCACCCTGGTGGCATCTTCATGCACTGCAAGCATGAAGCGCAGGCGTCCAGCTGCGCTGCACAGCACGGTACTGTATTCTCGACCATGCATATACTGGACAGTCCTCATCGAACGGCTGTTAACAGCAGTAGCGCTGCGCTACACGACACTTCGGACTCGCCATGCTGTTACCATGCATGCCTACGGAACTCTTCATGGCGGCTCTACTGCTAGCACAACGCGCCATTTCGGCTTGTAACATCCACGTTGCAGACTTCCGCGGTTTCGGCCGTCAAGGCTGCTACGACGAGAACCTGGGTATTTGGACTATTATTGACACGGACTTTGAAGCAAACGAATGCAAGTCGTTGATTGAGGAAAATGTGCATTCTTTGACACTCGTGGACATTCGGCGCGAATGCCAGCGTACGTATACCACACGACTAGGAATGGATGGCGCTGCTGAATAAGTACCAGTGCACGTATTCTCGGATCGAAGCTGTACACAAGGATGGCGAGTCGTCCAGCCGAAACATTGCGTCAATTCGCCAGAGGGCTTACGAAGCTGGTCCATGGAGTGCATTTGGTCACAATACGGTGGCTAGCCGTCAGTGAGCGAAATGAAAGTTAGGCAAGCTAAAAAAAGTGCTGCTTGGGCTTCGCGCAGCTTCGTGGAGCTCATATTTGGAATAAGTCTCCATCAAAATATTCCGCTGCCAATTTCTTATTCGAATTACGATCGGCGACTGAGACGTCAACAAGGTAGTTGTGACGCTACGGTCATGCACTTCCACATCGTTGACCTTGCGGTATGGATTCGCACCAACGACGATGTTGCCTCAAGACCAGATTGTCTTCGTGAAGGGGATACCCGTTGAGGGCTGAAGGCTAGTAACAGCAGCTACGACGATGTTGGGCCTTCGGACACCAAGCACGCCATCTAGGATCTTTTTATTCGCCCTCGCCCCTGCTACTGTAACGCGGGCTTGCACAGAGTCAATTGCCCCTGGATAGCAATCTGTCAGACGATCGACTCCACAGGGATCACAGCTGACATCGTAGTAATCGAATGAGTGCGCGGCTCTCACAGAGAAAAGGTTTACTTTGTGGTGCAAAGTCCCTGCAATCGAACTTGGTATGCAGATATATGTAGCCAGTGTTTGAGCTTTGACCTCAACGACGTCATAGATCAATGTCTGCAGACGCTCGACCTTCATAAACAAATTATAACATTGGCTTCCCCGAGACAGTATTTTGAGTGCAGATGCTGTGCAACTGGCTCTCTGTGAGACACAATCAGTAAGGCGGCTCGCCTCCCGAGATAATACCGACGTGTTTCGCCGTATTTGCCTCAACAGCTCATTGAAACCTCCATGCAGTGTCCGGGCGTGTGACCAACGGCAAAAGGACATGCGGCAACTTTCCCCCGAGGCTGTTAGGCCATCGAAGAATGGTGTTGCACTTACTGGACGTGCACAACTACGGACACACTGGATACGTCAGTGCAAACAGGGGTCGTGAGGCGACGTGCATTCACACGAGCAAATATAGCAGCGGGAAATGGGCAGAGAATGGCAAGGCAAGATTACAATCAACACACTCTAGCAACTGGTCATGCTGTGCAGCCAATCCATTAGACCGCCACGCCTTTATGCTGGTATCCACACCGTAGTGCTGTCCAAAGGCGACATTAGCTGCGGATCATGGCGCAAATAGTTGGCGGGGCGAAAGGTCACAATCAAAAGGGTGGGGCACGCCGCCCCACCGGCTGCCGCACAGCGGGGTAAGAGCTCTTACACTTCGACGCTCGATGCGCCTTGATGGCATGCTCAAATTGCATCTTTCTCTATCCTGCTTCGGGGACGGTCACGCATCGCCGCCGAAAACCAACGAATGATTACCCTCTTGCCATGGGCTGCATACCGAGTAGAGTCGTGCGAGAACGGCTTGAACATACCACGATCGATGACCTGCTGCAGGACAACGAAGTAAGCTCTGCCTGGGCCGGAGGTGAACAAAGGCCTCAATGTTAATTATACCAGTTCGTAGCCTATATGCTACCTTGGAAGCAATCGTTATCGAGTAAATCGTTGCAGAAGCTATACACTTTGGTGCAGAAGGAACATCACTTGGACGGTACAGTAACATCTTTGGCACTGTTTTTTTTTGTTTTGGAGTTGACTGGCCGCAGCGAACCATAGTACCGGATTTGCGGGACGAAACGATCTGAAGCCATTACTGAGCCTCGAGGAAGGTGACACTACTCTTCACCACGAGTTGGTGCCTTTTTATGATTCGTGGTCCAGAAATCCGAAGAGCTTCGTGTCTCTTGAATCAGATGTCCGTGGCCTCGGGTATTTGACTAGGATCGGCCGCGACGTCGCTCCTCCGAAAACAAAAAGCGTCGTAAAGCGAGTGAAGCGGAGGTTCCAATGGCTGTTTTTCTACCAAGCTTCTCGAATAAAACGAGGCTATTCCTACCCCGAGGAATGGGTAAGGTGTGGGCAACAATACGACAGGTTAACGTCCCGGCTGGGAATTGGTTGCTTGTTCTTGTTGCCCCTCAAGATTGCCGACCATTTGTAAGAAATTTTGCTCCACAATAAGACCAGATACTGACAGCCCAAGGTGGTGCAATCGTCTGCCACAGGAAGGTAATTACTTCGAGGAAGCAATTGCGCTGTTGGAGCGGCTATCGATTGTTGCGAATGCCGCTCGGATTGATGCGAACAGAGTCGGTACATCAATCCGAGAGACCATACTTCAACCCCTTATATCCGGCAGAGCCGTGAACGACCAAGGCGCGACCCCGAAATTGCATCTTGCGTCTGAAAGCGTCTACAATCGGATACCTGTGGTTGTACCCTATGATTCACCAATACTGCTATACGTGCAAGCTGGGGACATTGTCGGGCTAAGAGAGCTTTGGCAGACTGGTCTGGCGACTATAGATACTGTAGATCCGTATGGCCTCGGCTTGCTCTACGTACGTCCCACCCCACAGATGGAAAAATGGCAAGGCGGAAGAGGAAGAGACACAAACTGACTATCGCTAGTACTCTACGTATTATTGCTGGCGAAGCTGCGGTATAGCTAAAGCCATGGCAACGTGCAAGGTTTTACTTGATGCCGGTGCTGATGTGGCATGGCGAGATGATTTAGGAAAGTAAGTTTGGACTTCGTACCGCCCTCATCTCTGCCGTTACTGATATGTAAAGCACTCCTATCGATGCTATGCTAGATTCGTACCGCCCTCATCTCTGCCGTTACTGATATGTAAAGCACTCCTATCGATGCTATGCTAGATTGTGTACTAGCACAGCCAACAATGTCTGGCAAGCCAGATCATACTGCGCTTTGCGATGTTGCAAGGCTGTTCGGGGTCCCTTTGGATGAGGCCTGGGGACAGTACGTCGAGAGTCGAGGCTTTACGGAGCTGCACGAAGTACTACTCGGCATTTATGGGGCAGAAGAAACACTGGATGAATACCTCAGTCGTTTTGCCACCGAACGAAGGCTAGCCGGAATCATCGATGCCCCAGACTTTTCCGGTAGGAGTGCACTTGCATGGGCGGTCGCGTACGGCTGGGCACGTGCAGCGGCATCTCTGGTTGCGCACGGCGCCAATGTCAACCAGCGGACACCGTCCGGACTCGGTGAACTACCCGTGTTGCACATTGCGCTTGCCGGGCCCGCCTCAGGCGAACCGACGTGCGACTTCTTGGCAATAGTGTCGTTGCTTCTTTCCGCAGGTGCCGATCCTAATGCTGTCGACCATGAAGGTTGGACTGCTCTGCATATCGCTGCATCATGGAACTCTTACGATGCCATTACAATTTTGCTGCGCTGCAGTCGTTCGCCCGTCAACATGAGCGCTCTCAACTACGAAGGCAAAACGGCTGCACAGGTGGCAGTGGAAAGCGGGGCGGATCTGATGCTCATTAATGTGCTAGCCAGTGGCGTGAGCGCAGCAGAATAGAAAGCATTGCTTTCCGTTACTCCCGTCAATCTCGTCTCACTAAGGCCATAAGACTGAAGCTTATGTTGTCCGCCTCGATTCGAATGCAGTCTCGTATGACGCTTGGCACACCGGAACCGAGCAGGTCAGCTTCAGGCAGCAACACACCTCTGTCAAGCGGCCCTTTCCGGTCACCGTCCAACTCATAGAGCCTACCATTCTTCTGAGACCGAACAAAGCAAACGTAGTGAAGGTCGAGCTCGTCCTCGGCGCTGGCAGGGCTAATGGACTGGCCCTTCGTGGCGACGTTGGCGTAGACCCGTTCGAGTTCTTCTG